CTCCATGGAAGGGAGATGCCAGTCGCATCCATGGCCTCTGATACGATAAAGTGTTATACCATTAACAAACATTAACCCTTCTTGTCATACCCACACCGTTAGAGGGTGGTCTTGGTTGTTGCTACCCGCCGGGCACCGCATCACCATGCACGGGCGACCACCAAGGGACTATCGGCCACTACTGGATGGATTTTTATCGCTGAAGGGTAGCCATCCCATATAATCGCAGGGTTGCAACTATTATTGGCCTTACACTAATCGTACTAAGTTGTGTTGGCTCTTTGTCCGTTTCTGGGAGCTAGTGAGACAAAATGGATAGAGATCCAACCCTTTGTCCATTGTTGGGAGCCGGTGTGATGAAGATATGTAGAAGTATGTAGCCTTTTGTCCATTGCTGAAGGCTAAATGACAAATTCGGCCCTCTGTCCATCGTTGGGAGCTATGTAGATGCATCCTGTTGTCCATCAATGGAAGCCATGTATGTGTAGAAAAGTCGACTTTTTATCCATTGTTGGGAGCCACAAGGTATAATAGTGAATATCATTGTGGAGGACATGACCATCAAAAACATCTAGCCATGTCATGGAAATAGATCTAATCATGTTTGGCCATGTATATAGAAATAGATGCTAGAGTGAGCTGTCCTTTGCAGTGTTTCTAGTGAAGTGGATAAATGCCTCTTTTGGCGGTGCTGACTCCGTTGCAATAATTAGTAGAAAATAGCATGGCTGATATGGAAGATAAGTCACGTGGGCGCTTGTTAATGTGGGATCACACATGCCTCCAACTTTAGAGCAGCACAAATTCATCCCTCAACACACTCAATCTAAAGTTGTCACATCAATAAGATTTTACAATTGATTTGAAATTAGTTTCTTTGCAATCCAAACCACAATTACTATGGTAGACCAGCACCACGTGTCTAATTGGGACTCTATGATTGATTTAAGATGTGCCATGTCACCAAGTTGCAGCTCATTTGGAGCTTGATTTGGTGCAATCTGCAACCCAAACCATAGGTGGTGTGAAGATGGTGTCCCACATGACAAGATAAGATGCATATCTCTTCTTTTAATTAAATTTTATTTTAATTAGGTGATTAAAAGAGATTTTAGGAGAATATCATGCTAGGGTTAATTAGAGTTTGTGAAAAGGTCAAATACAATTGGTAGACTTAGAGTACAAATAGGAAACTGCTGTTGTCAAAATGGTGAGAAATGGACCAAAAAACATGGAAAAAACCTCCAGCAACAACGTAAAAGCACCTCCTTTGATAGAAATTATTATTTTAGGCCTACCTTTCTTAGAAAAATGCCTAGCACGCTATAATTTCAATTTTAAATTAGTTTAGCTAGCCTTTAGCATAGTTTCCAAATTGCAATTTGGAATTTAGTTCTTGTTCATAGCTTTAGTTTGAATCTTTTGTTTTGTGTTGAAGGTCTTCCCAATGCAAGAAATTTCTAGAATCAAACAAATTTGCATCATGTTTTCCAAACTAAAGCTTTGAGACTAGATCTTACTTTGTTTTCTTGGTTAGCTTTTTTTATTTTATTCTAGTTCATCAGTTTCTACTATTAGAGACCTTTTGTCATGTTTTTATTGAAATCTTTGTGTTATAGTATGTTAGCCTTCTTAGCCTTCTTAGCCTTCTTAGGTTTTTCTCATGAATTCAATCTGCAAAACAGTCAATGTTAAATTTTAGATATGATATTGTAGTTAATTTGAATTTTACAATTTTTTTCTAGTTATGTTAATGAAATTACGTCTCTTCATACTTCAAAATTACTATTTACTTTCATCTCTTCTTTATATTTCTATTGTTTAATCTACAAGCAGAATAATCTTATTTGTATTCTTTATGTTTGCAAATTTATTTTTTGTCTACAAGTATAGTCCATTAGTTTGCGTAATTCTTAGTTAATATGTAGGTTTGTAATCCTCTTAATCTAATGTACATTTTAGGTATATGTTGTAGTACTTTTTAGCTTTTGTCTGTCTTTTAACTGTTATGCCTTTAGTTTCCTTTTAGTTGCCTGTGTTTTAGTTGTTGTGTTTATTTTCCTTACCAACAAATACACTTAATTAACCCAACCCTTGATGTGGAAGTCACTAATAGTTTTTCAAGACATAATTTTTAACTCATTTGTGTAGGAAAGTATCCCTCCTTCCTGCCAACCGTCTCATTTAGGGTGCATCTTTTTATTAAATTAATGTTATTCTAGTCATCCAACTTAGAGCTTGACCGTTTAGAAGAATAAGGTCGCCAAGAAAATCCTTTTCTTGCTTTTGCTACAAAACAAGTGGTATGCCTGAGCGTGTCATGCAGTAGCCAAAAGAAAGATTTTTGGAGATACACGAACATGGTGTCATTTTAAAGTTAAAATGAATATCAAAATACGAACAAGAAGAAGGCAATACCAAGAGTGAGATCAAACAAAATCAACTATAAGGTGAGACCTACATCAACTAGGCCTACATGGACAATAAGCAACCCCACTCGCTGAAACACAAATGGAACATTAAGGACACCATGCAAATCTTTTATGGCTAGGGCTCCACGATGATTTTCCCGGTAGCATGGCCTTCTATAATCTTAGCCCAGGCATCTTCAGCCTCGCTTAGGAGATGTTTCGAGTCTATCACTGTCTTAAGCTTTCCCTCCTTTACCAAATTAACAAGAAAATTGAGTTTCTCACGTTTTGGTATTAAGAGCAATGGCACCAGCTGCTTCTTGGACAAGGTGAGCATTTTTGCAGCACAAGCGAGCAAGGCTCTACTGGTGGGAGTAATGTCTATTACCTTCCCCTTTTCACTAAGATTAGGCTCAAAGGTTGACCACGGAATGCCTGAAGCGCAGTGGATTACAAAATCATATTTTATGCCAGAAGGGCTCTTCAGAGCTGCTCCATCAGGAGTCTTGTAATCAAGAACCTCATCTGCACCCAGTCTCTTGACAAAGTCAAGGTTACGAGCACCACAAGTGGCAGTTACATGTGTATTTCCAAGTTTTGCTAGTTGAACAGCATAATGACCCACACCACCTGAGGCAGCTGTGACTAGAACATTTACTTGCTTGCCACTGCCATCAAGCTTAATTCCGGCAGAATCTGTGAGAGCTTGATGAGCTGTGAGACCTGCAACAGGAAGGCCTGCAGCAGCAGCAGCTGAGACTTCTGGAGGCCTTGCAGCTGTCAAACTCTCCTTAGCCACAACATACTCAGCTAGCCCACCTGCAGCCTGTCATTGCAAAGCATAATCAATAATAATTATAGAATGGAAAAAGGCAATGTGTCATGAGCATGTAAGTTATCAATTGCGGGCATGTAGGTCTTCTCACAGCCACTGATGCCACTACCATCACTTCTTTGGCATGTAAAGGATGGTGGTTGGCTGATTGCATTCAACACATATGATGCTTACCATGTATTAGATTAAGATATACTATAGGGAAACTCAAAATTTGAAATAGACAACATAGAGGAAAAAGAAAGAAGTATATATTCCAGATTTAACATTGCAAGGAAATTCCTAAAGCATGAACCAAGAAATAAGCCAGGTGGACATCAAAGATTAGTTTTCATGTGCTATTATTTTAACTGGAGAAGGGTAGACAAAAATGTCTAAAGACAGGGAACAAAAAGAAGAAGTTAATCTGTGTCTTAAAGGCAGGCAATAAATAAAATTGACAAATTCTTCACACCCTCAATTAACAGCATTTCACAAAGGTTTCAGTACTCTTGGCTTTTGCCAAACATTGCAATGCAAAATGATTGTCAAAGGGATAGTTTCTTTTTCTTAATTTGGACTTTTGGAGTCAAGATTCCCCCAGTGAACATCCAGTCTCTACAATTTCACTCAAAAAACTTTAGCAGTTGTCTTCATCAATATAATTAAGGTCCTAAGGTTGCTATATATTCAATGGATAAGAGTTTACCAAACTATACTGGCATGATATTTGAAGGGAAGAACCAAACCAAAAGAATAGGGAAGGGTATTTACATGAGGGCCAAGGGTAGTCACAACTTTGTCGCCAGCTTTCAAATTCTTAACTCCTGTTCCAACCTCTATGACTTCTCCTGTCACATCCATAGCTGGTCCAACAAAAAACATATTCACAAATAATCGCAACAAAGAAATAAGGAATTTGACAGAAGAAGAATATAACTTTCCAGACAGTAAAATGCCTCAGAAAATTTTATTATACAGCTAGCCACAACCACAGAGGATCTAATTACTCAGGAAAAGGCACATCATATTTTCAGGTAAAAGTTACCTTTCATGTTCAAAGTTTGAAAATTGTACCATAATATATTCAAATACTGTTTAATATAACAAAGACGTCCCAACACAAAACCTTGAACTTACATAAATACTAAGATGTGACAACATGTATTGCAACGTAACATGTATGACACAAGTACTTGAACTAAGAGACTTATTTGCTAAAAAACTAGCATCCTTTGTACCAGAAACAGGTAAAAGCCCATAGGTCAGACAGAAAAAGATATGCAACTAAACACTATCCTATGGTAAAAGTGCACCCTACTAAAACTGTTTACCAAAGTTGTTGTTGCACAGCACCAGAGTTAGAGAATATACAGGGGAAGCAAGGTTGGATCACTAAACGTTCAAGTCATGTCAGATAAACATGTAAGAAAAAGCAGTGCAATCTTTGCAGCTTCTATCAACTTGCAAATGACTAGTTATGAAAAAAAAAATGAGGAAGATAACTTGTGTGATCAGTAGACCTGGCAATTTTTTACCCAACCCGTTAACCCGCCCGTTACCCACCCGTTTAAAACGGGTTAGGGTCAGATGTTCATGACCCGTGACCCGTTAATAACCCGTTAACAGAACCCGACGGGTAATGGGTCAATAACGGGTTGACCCAACAGGTTAACGGGTTTGACCCGTTTACCTATTTGAAAAGTAAATATTTTTTAATTTATTATTTATATATTTTATTTCCTAATTTTCAAATCTCAATCTCACTTAAATCCCTAATAAATAGCTAATTTTACCTAATTGGTTACTTCTCTCGGCTCACCATCTTCAAGAAGCCAAAAAAATCCCAGGCTCCTAATGTCCCACCCCACCACTCATCATCTCAGTGATCTCACGACCTTTCCTGTTCTTCTTCTAATATTTTCAAAAACTCTAACTCTTCCAACTCTCCTCAGATTCTCCAATCTACAGCCTCCTGTAACTGCACCAAACCCAACGTCCTTCTTCACTTCAGATCTGCACTCCGGATTGACCTGCAAAGCCCCGAGATGGATCTCGGGGAAGACACTCCGATGCTTAAGTCAGCAATAATCGGGGCTACCTTTAAAGCAAGAGAACAAGGAGTTTAGGGTTGGTTTTTTTCATCCCCTTTTGGCGTAGCCCTTAAGAGGTATTTATATGTTCCGATGCAGAATCCACGCGGCATGCCAATCAAGATGCCAAGCAAGATATCTGGGATGTGATATGTATCTAGCAAAATATCCGGGATGTGATATGTATCTCCAGGCAGTTATTTCGGGACCGGGAGATTGAGATATATCTAGATACAAGGAAGTTCATCGTAACTGCCGTGTAGCTATTCTAGCGGGAAGCTCTGGATTTACCCTTACACCTCCATAGTTCATATGGTATTTCTGCATGTTTCTGCAATTTTTCTGCACTTTTCTTGTCATGTTTATGCATGTTTCTGCTCATTTTTTCTGCAATTTTCTGCTCATTTTTTCTGCAATTTTGATAGTATAAAACTATATTTCTTCCATTTTTCTGCATGTTTCTGCAATTTTTCTGCACTTTTCTTGT